AAACATGTTTATTAATCAATTTGTACATTATAATTTTACAAAGGCGCTTATAACAAACAATAAACAAGAAGCGCATAATTATCACAGTTAATTTTAATATTTCACAACGGCCCACTTTTTCGGGCACTAGTCGGAGTAATACAATTTGGTTTTTTTTCATCCATCTTTTCAAACATCATTTCCATTCATTAATTATATATATCTATCATACTACATTCTTTTTTCTTTTTTTTAAAAAGTGATTAGAACACTGGTTAAAAAAAATAGGGTCCAACGAATGTTGGCCACAAAAACATACCAGTCTGCCTTTTCTTAGTTTAGTTTGATTTTTAATTTAAATTTAAAATATTTATAACGTTTCTAAATCTTCTATTATACTCTTATCCGTTAACCACCAATACCTCTTTACATTGTACCTTTTTTTTGCAAATTTTGTCTCCATTATGCATTGCAGTGGAGAAACGTGATAGGGCTGATTTGTTGCGATGCCAGTCATCGTTATTGAATTCGATTGCTTTATTAAGGGCGTGCCTATGAATGTGGTACAATATAGGCACGTTTTCGTTATCTTGGATGTAACCAAATTTGTCTAAGTAAGTAAAACCGTGTGGAGGAATATAACCAGATTTGAGTGTTTCTTTATATTTTTCATTAGTATGTAAAAAAGGGCCAATTATATCCGGATTTTCTTTTATTCTTGCAGCACTTGCAAAATGGTCTCTAATCAACTTGATCATGGATAAATCAATCCTGGGAATTTTTGCTGTATTATACAATTTAGCGTTAGAATAAAATTTTTTGAAATTCGATTCTGGTGTTCTATACATACTCAGACACACCCTTAGGCACGCCCTTTCGAAGACTCTTATTTTTTCCATTTGAGATGGAGATACATTAAACCAAATTTGGCAAGCGTAAGTGGTAATAGGTCTTACCAATAAAATGTAGCATAACAACTTTACTCTAGGCTGTAATTGCGATGAATAAAATAAACTTTTATATTGAAAAAAAGCCTTTTTTGCTTTTTCTATCGCCTTATCCACTTGTATTATGAATTTAAACCTATCGTCCAAATAAGTACCGAGGTATTTTACATTATTTTTTATCCCACATGCACAAAAACGGCGCTTTCTGATAGCAGCCGACAGGGAGGAAAGTCATTCATTTCTTCGACCGTATGAAAATGGCGGCCGTGTTCTCCCAAGGGCAAGAAAATTAGCTGTTCACATGCATTTTTCTTGCCCAAGGGAGAAATCGGCCGCCATTTTCATACAAATCGAACAAGTGAATGACTTTTACTCCCTGTCGTCTGCTATCTGAAATCGCCGCTTTTGTGCATTAGGAATAAAAAATATCGTAAGTAACACGAGAATAAAGGCAGCCAATTTCTTTACAATGATTTTAGTGACACTCGTTCCGGTCTCGGGGCGCCTACGGCGCCCTCGACCTCCACTCGTGTCATAAAAATCACCGTAAAGAAATGGCTGCCTTTCTCCTCTTGTTGCTTAATATACTATTTATGCTCTAAGGTAATGTTATTTTCTCCCTCTCTAGCTTTCAATTTAAAATCTCGCCAAACTTTTGCGTGTTTTTTTTCTATTACTGGTCTAAACAATACTGTTTCACATTTTTTTATATTGCATTTCAGCCTCCAACTATGGATCTCCCAACCAAAGTTTATATGGATGAGACAGCCATATGTGAAAATTAATAATAATAATTAATTAAAATTAAACTCGTTAACATAAGAAAAATAATTTTTCTTTTTGCCGAAATAAGCCATTTATTTGTTTAAAAAGTAAATAATTTGTTTATAACAAATGTAATTGTTTGTGCTAATAAATTTCTAAAGTTTTTGAAAGAATGTACTATATTATATAAACATTTAATGTTTAAAAAATGCATAAAATGTTTACAAATGTCAAAGAAACTTGATTATTGTTCATGTAATTGTTCATAACAATGGTAATTGTTAAATTCAAAATAATTTTTACCAAAATCGACATATATTACTTAAATAAACATAAAATTTGTATAAAAAAATTGTTAATTAGTCTGAATTGGCATCTTTCTGCACCCAACCGACGATATATTGATAAATTTAACTAATTTCAAGAAGAATTTGAACTATTAACATTTTGAAAAAATCTAAGTTTTTTAAAGTTTCTAATTACATTCATTAAAAATTGAAAGTTTATGAAATTTCAAATTAAAGCCTTTTGAAGTTCATCTATTTTTGAAAATTGTAAACTCAATTCTTTTAAATGACAATTAATATTGAAATATTAAAATAAAATTATTCAATAAATAATTTATAAATAACAATAATTGTATGATTGTTTTTTAAGAATGAAGTTATTTAAAAAGAAATATTACTGTCGGAAATAGAAAAATTTGAAAGTTTTGTGTTAGAATTCGTGGTGATTTCATAGCAAAAAAGAAACCATTTTCGATTTTTTAGGTCAAAAAATTGAGAGTTTCCGGGCAGCGATTTTTTTGAAATTGTGTAGGAATGTTAGGAGACTCACTAGGAGCCATTACCAAAAATAAAATTTTTGGTCAATTGATAACTCTAATTTTGCCATTTTTTTTCTCTATTTTTACCTAATTTTTCGATTTATTAGGGCAAAAAATTGAGAGTTTCCGGGTGGCGATTTTTTTGAAATTCTCCAGGATGATTAGGAGACTCACTAGGAGTCATTTCCAAAAATAAAATCCATGGTCAATTCATAACTGTAATTTTTAAATATGTTGTTGTCAAGTTTAAGTTTTTAAGTTTGTAAAAAAATGTAATTTTTTTATGATTTTGAGTTTTGATATTTGCTTTCTGTTGTGTTTGTGACTTTTCTTTTGATATCTATTATATTAGCTAATCTTCTATTTAACCCATTAACGCCTGAAATAAGAAAATTCTTTGCGCAATTTTAACGTATGATTTTACAAATAACAAGATCTTATTTCATACCACAAGTATGTTTCTTACTGGTTTTGAGTGTGCTCTTTCCGATTCCGGTGTCAAAAAGGAATTTCGTTCAACCCAAAATTAAATATGGCGGTTTTAATTTCAAAAAGACCAAAAAAAATTTCATTTTTTCAAGTTTGATAATTTTTTTTTACCGTTAATCGTGTGTGAATAAAATTCAGTTTTCAACCATAGGTGCATAAAAGTTGTATACTTTTAAGAAACGTAAACTAGATTTCAAAATTTCAAGATGGCGACCAAATATGGCGTCAAATATGAAGAAAAATTTTGAAAGTTTTGGTCACTTTTTTTCAAAATACCAAAATGTTATTGAATTCGCCCAAATTTTGTTACTCGGGGGTTTTTGAGGTCGCTGATTACGAATCTGATGTTAGATTTTCAAAATTCAAAATGGCGGATCCAATATGGCGGATGAGAAATTTAAATTTTCATCTGATTCAGTTCAAAAACATTACTCGGGGATTTTCGGGGTCGCCGATTACGAATCTGAAGTTAGATTTTAAAAATTCAAAATGGCGGGTCCAATATGGCGGATGAGAAATTTAAATTTTCATCTGATTCAGTTCAAAAATATTACTCGGGGGTTTTCGGGGTCGCTGATTACGAATCTGAAGTTAGATTTTCAAAATTCAAAATGGCGGATCCAATATGGCGGATGAGAAATTTAAATTTTCATCTGATTCAGTTCAAAAACATTACTCGGGGGTTTTCGGGGTCGCTGATTACGAATCTGAATTTAGATTTTCAAAATTCAAAATGGCGGATCCAATATGGCGGATGAGAAAATTTTAATTTACAACTAATTCATTTCAAATTCATTTCTACGAATTTGAAACCTGTATGTTTTAATGATTCAACATTTTGAAAATCATGTTTTTTATTTACTTTTGTTACATGTGTCGTGTGTTTTTCCAACTTTCAAAGCAGCGTTTCCAGTATAATTTTTTGGAATTGCAAGAACAAACTCCTGTGTTCTAACATTAGGTTTTTTCAAATTAGCTGAATAGTGTAATAATAACATTTAATAAAAATTTCATTATTCATAATCACTTGTCTTTCGTGTTTTTATGATCAGCAGAGATAAAAGTTAATATTTTTACTATTATTTCATATATGTTTTTATATACTTTACAAAATTGTTTGACAGATTTATGTTATCAAGGTTTATGTTTTTTTATTTGAAATTATGTCGTATGTACTTTTCAATGTAGTAGTAACGTTGTGTCATTAATATTGAATGTTATTTATATAATTTATTTTGTCGACTGTTTTGTGTATAATGGAAACTTACCTCTAAAATATAAAATTTAATTTTCAAATTTGTACAGATGTTTTTTAGACACAAAATTTTATTCATACTAGATCATTAGTGTTTTTTATTCTTAATAAATAAATAATAATAATAATAATAATAATTTTATTGTTATTTTTTGTTGACGCTTACGTATGGTATTTAAAATTTAGATTATTTCGAAATGCCACCAAAATTGAAACGTACTAAAAAATCTAAGAGTCCCGAAGAAGAGTATGAGTTTGATGATTCTAATGATGTTTTCGATGACATCATACTATTACCAAACGCATATGATTCTAGCAGTTCTGAGGACTCAGATTCTGAAATTGAATCATATGAAAATGTTTCACCTCAAGTTTTTTATAGTGAAGCTTCTAAATTTTATACTTATGGACAAAAGAAATTAGAGGAAAACCACAAGTATGATTGGTTAGATGGTGAAAACGTGTCTACGGATAAAATAGAAAATTTAATCTTGTTAAGCGATACTGACAAAAAAAAATTAAAGATTCGACGCCTGTCGAACTGTTTGAAACCTTTTTTTGTAGTGAAATTAAGAAGTATATAATTGATGCATGTAAAGAAAATGATTTTGATATAAGTTTAAAAGACTTTAATACTTTTTTAGGAATTGTTATTCTAACTTCAATCAATTCAAGAAAATCTTAAAGAGATTATTGGTCGATTGATCCATATTTACACTGTGAAGTTATCAAATCTGCAATGTCACGTTATGATTTTGAACGAATTAAAGCAAAATTAAAATTTTCTAAATCTAAAGATAAAGATGACAATGACAAGGGATGGCGAATCCGTGCGATTCTTGAAATATTTAGGACAAATATTCAGAGTTATGGATATTTTCAAACTGCTCTCTCTGTAGATGAAACGATGGTTAAGTCTTACGCACGTACAAGTTTGAAGCAATTCATCAGAGGAAAACCAATCAGATTCGGATTGAAATTTTGGGCGCTTTGTACTCAGAATGGATTTTTATTAGACTTAGATTTGTATTGCGGAAAAAACTCTTCAGTTGGAGATATTTTACCTAAATGTACATTAGGTACTCGGGTTGTGATGCTTCTTTTGAAAAACTTTTTTTCAAATACTAGTCCACGAAAAATTTCCGAATATCATCTCTATTTTGATAATTTTTTCACCAGTTTTGATCTCATTTTACACTTAAGTAAATTAGGTTTACGTTCTACAGGCACTATACGGGAGAACAGAGTTCGTGAAAAAAATATAATTGATAAAAATGCTCCTAGAGGTACGTATGTTGCGAAACATGATAAAAACAGTCGGATTAATTATATAACCATGATAGATTCTAAGCAAGTTTCAATTGCTTCTACAGCTGCAGGAGTGAATCCTCTTATGCCTTTAAACAGGTACAAGGCAGAGCAAAGATCAAAAGTAGAGATTCCATTTCCGAAAGTGTTCCACGTTTATAACAAATTTATGGGAGGAGTCGATCTCCATGACGGACATTGTAATAATGTATTGCCAAGCATTCGATCAAAACGATGGACATGGGTTGTTTTTGTAAAGTTAATCCAATCTGCAATCACAAATGCGACTGTATTATTTAATTCCGCTCATATGGAAGAAAATAAGATTGGAACTAAAGAATTTGTTCTTGCTATCGCTAAGCACTATATTGGAAACGCTAGTTTGAAGGTTGGACAACCACACAAAACAGTAAACAAAGACAAACAAAAAAAATGCTCTACAAAACACTGTGTCATAAGAACATACAAGTTTTGTAGAAACTGTGAAAAATACTTTTGCAAACAGTGCTTCAGCCAATTTCATTAAAAATAAATAGATAGAAACAATTTAAAACTATACTTAAAACTACAAAAAATTATTTTAAAAAAGTAAAAAAAAATTAAAAAATTAAAAAAAAATTTAAAAAAATTAAAAATTAAAAAAGTAAAAAAAAATAAAAATTAAAAAATGCAAAAAAAATGTAAAATTAAAAAAAATTAAAAAAAAATTAAAAAGACTCTTAATTTTGTCTACCTCCACGTGGTGAGAGTCGGTTAACGTTACTAAAAAACGGCAGAAGACAAAAAAAAATCATTTTCAAAATTTTTATCCGCCATATTGGATCCGCCATTTTGAATTTTTAAAATCTAACTTCAGATTCGTAATCAGCGACCCCGAAAACCCCCGAGTAATGTTTTTGAACTGAATCAGATGAAAATTTAAATTTCTTATCTGCCATATTGGATCCGCCATTTTGAATTTTGAAAATCTAACTTCAGATTCGTAATCAGCGACCCCGAAAACCCCCGAGTAATGTTTTTGAACTGAATCAGATGAAAATTTAAATTTCTCATCCGCCATATTGGATCCGCCATTTTGAATTTTGAAAATCTAACATCAGATTCGTAATCAGCGACCCCAAAAACCCCCGAGTAACAAAATTTGGGCGAATTCAATAACATTTTGGTATTTTGAAAAAAAGTGACCAAAACTTTCAAAATTTTTCTTCATATTTGACGCCATATTTGGTCGCCATCTTGAAATTTTGAAATCTAGTTTACGTTTCTTAAAAGTATACAACTTTTATGCACCTATGGTTGAAAACTGAATTTTATTCACACACGATTAACGGTAAAAAAAAATTATCAATCTTGAAAAAATGAAATTTTTTTTGGTCTTTTTGAAATTAAAACCGCCATATTTAATTTTGGGTTGAACGAAATTCCTTTTTGACACCGGAATCAGAAAGAGCACACTCAAAACCAGTAAGAAACATACTTGTGGTATGAAATAAGATCTTGTTATTTGTAAAAGCATACGTTAAAATTGCGCAAAGAATTTTCTTATTTCAGGCGTTAATGGGTTAAAAAAAAAAATTTTCGTTGATAAACGTTGTGGACTTCAACGTCGTCAAAAATTCAGAATTTTCTTAGGAATTTATATGTGTGAGTAATTAACGTATTGTTGGAAGGGGTATAAATATTATACCCCTTTCATTATCAATTTTTCAAGCTTGGAAGAGGTTGTAAAAAAAATTTTTTTTAAAAAAAACCCTTAAAATCGTCTTAAAATGGATTTTTAAGTGAAAATTAGTATATATATATATTATATTATATATTATATATATTATATATAATATATATATATATATATATATATAATATATATAATATATATTATATATATAATATAATTAATATATATATAATTATATAATAATATATATATATATATAATATATATATAATTATTATATATATATTATTAATATATTATATTATTAATATATTATTAATATAATATTTTATAATATTTTATTTAATATATTTTATGTTTTGTTTTCTTTTTTTTCAAAAATTTTAATAATGAAAACAATATTCTGCTCAACAATATTTTTATGGATATCTCTTCCAGACCTTTTTTTTTCGTGTAAGAATTCTGTGGGGTAATGGGAGAATTAGTGTCAGCCCAAAGAATTTTCGTTACTATGTTGCGGCTTTCGTTATTTCTTTGAAAATTGTAAAAGATATCACCTTATGAACAAACTTTTAATTAAAAAATAATTTTTGGTGGAAAAAATGAAAAATTAAATTTTTTTTCAAAAATTTTTTATTCAATTATATAATTTAGACAAAAATTTATTTTAAGTCTAAAGTTTTGGCTTCATTGTAAGTATTAACACTTTTTTCTATTAGAAAACAAAAAATATTCCTAAAAAATTGAAATTTTTGAAATTTCAAGTGAAAGCTCCCAATACCCCACAAATTGGGTGATGGCAAAAAATGTATTTTTTTTGAAATTTTTTTTCCAATTTACTTTCTTTTTTTAACTTTCTAATTAAACACAATTAAAGATAAATAACGAAATGAGTAGAAAATGACGAAAACAATGTATTATTATAAAGACAAGTTGTTTTTTTTAATAATTTTAATATTTCCCCACGCTCCCCTATTTTAATTCCTAAAGTTACTTTATGTATATCGTTATGATATTCAATGGATATCTTATAATTAATGCAAGAATATCCTGCGGATAGGGGCATCCTAGGGATATTTATTGGATGTTCATAGGATATCTTATGTGTATCCTTAAATATCCTGAGGATGTCCCTGGGATATCCATACCGCCGGTCTCTAGGATATCATTATATTATCCGTTCGATATCTCTAGGACATCCTTAGGATATCAACAGGATGTTTCTATAATATCCTTGGATATCTAGTGCTATGAGGGAACCTACATCTTCTTAAAAGAAGGTTCCAAATTTTTAATAAAAAATTGATGGAGGTTGAAAAGAGGTTAAAAAGAGAGGCAATAAGTTTCGAGTATCCGTTACACATACTATTTAATCGATCTTTAGGATCTGACGTTTTTCCATTTGTTTGGAAGAGATGGATTATTGTACCGATTTATAAAGAAGATGGCAAAAGAAAGATGTGGTAAATTATCGCACCATAACTTGCCGAGTGGAACTTTTAGACCTGCTTCCTTAAAACTGACGGTTTTTAAGGATGTAATAGCACAGAAAAAAACCGAACTCAAAATGAGTAGCATATGATACTCATTTTGAAGTGCAACAAAAATGATACCCCTTCGACTCATTCTGAGTTTCTGGGGAAAAGACTCAAAATGAGTAAAAGCGGTATCATTTTGGTTTTATGATAAAATTACAATAACATTGTAATAACTGGGAATAATTTATAAAAATATGAATTAAAATAATTGTTTATAATGAATAAACAAGTTGCACTTGTGAAATCATTAATACTTGAAGCCGATTTATCGTATTTATGAGAAATGAAAAACAAATTTTTAGGTTAGACACTTGTGAATTGACTGGCAGGGATGGCAACCATGTAACACGAAATATAAGAAACACAAAAAAAAGTAACGGCGCAACGCGCAGCAGACATTTTCTACAGTTGTTGCCAACATAACACACACACAAAAAACTAGAACCTGACATTTTTCTCATTTTGAGTCACTTGAAGTTGCCGATTACTCATTTCGAGTCACTTGAAGTTGTCGATTACTTATTTCGTGACCGACTTCCAAATGCGTTGCAACAAAAGTGAGTCGGGTTTTTTTCTGTGAGGATGAAAACAGAGTTTATTTGTATTGCAAGTTAACTCTGATTACCTCCTGCAAACCCTTGGTTAGCGACAAATTTAGATGGTAAAAGGGGGAAAGCAGGTGTTCCTAGAACCTTATTAAATACTGCTTGACCTTTACTTACAGAATTCTTCCCTCTCCTAAAACCCTAGAAAAACTGCTCATAGCATATTTGAGATCATTTTTAACTAATTTTTATAATAAGTTCAATTATTAATAAATGACATTATTATTGATTTTTACTTTTTTTTAATTTAATCGTGACCAATAGCGAATTCATAAATAATGTTAGTATATTTGTGGGGATTAATACATATCCCTATATATATATATATATATATATATATATATAAATAAAAAAATTTTTTTTAAATTAAATATTTGTTAATTAAATTATTTAACGGTGTATATAATCATTAGATTGCATACTACGAAACTAACGCCCTAACCACTATGCTACGAAACCTGACTAAACACAGACGCTTTATTTTCAGTGATTTGTTGAGTTATTGGTTTTGGTGATTTAAAAAAGCATTTATTGACCCTAATACACTACAGAAAATTAATAAATAGTTTAATAACAATATTAACAATATTAATAATATAATAATAACCCATAAATATTCATAAATTAATATTTTTATTATTTAAAAAAAATGTCAAAACATTTCAGTTAAAAATAATATTTATAAATTAATAATAAAAAAGTTTATGTTCCGGTATCCTATTCGCAGTTTGAAGTTAGTTGTTGTTTGCTTTTTTGTTTCTTAACTTTTTATAATTTTTCTTTTCAAATATTTTCAATTTTAAATTTAATGTATTGAAAATCTTCGAATTGTTACAAAGAATTTTATCCAAAAAATTTGATAATAATAGAATTCCTTCAAAGGATTTCTTTATTTATAAAAATAACTAGATTCTCGCGAAGAATTTTATTAATATTTTTAAAAATCCTAATTAAATTCTTTTGAAGAATTTCTTTTCTTTGGATTTTTTTTAAACTAATGGAGTTTCTTTAATATTTTTAATTGAAAATCTCGAAAGCAATTGAATTTTATAAAGAAGAATTTTATTAAAATTGTATTAAAAATAATTGACTTCTTGCAAAGAATTGTACTATTTATAAAAATAATTGTAATGTTTCGAAGAATTTATTAAAATTTTAAGAAATAATTACATTCTTATGAAGAATTTTATAGAAATATTTAAAAATCATGAAATTTTTTCGAGAAATTCAATTAAAGTTGTTTCGAAAATAATTGAATTTCTTTAAAGAATTTTATTAAAATTAAGTATATTCATAATAATTGAATTCATCATAAGAATTTCATTACCTTTGGAAATATGTAAGGGGCCGTACACATAATACGTCACGCGATTTTTGACCATTTTTAACCCCTCCCTCCCCCTATGTCACACTTCGTCACAAATCTTGAACCCCCCCTCCCCCCTACGTCACGTCACACACGTAAATTTCACTGTAAATTTTATACATTGGACAATATATACGTATATTATATCTTACACTCTAAATTATTGAATCAGTTAAGAATATCTGATTTAGAAGCAAAAAATCAGTCACTAATTCAAATAGTAATATTTTTTCTGACAATTAGTTGAAAATAACTGATGTTTCAATACAATTGTTTTTGATTGATTCAATTAGTCACGTTTAACTACCTACATAGCACCGAAACTCTCCTAAAAATTTACTA